TGGCTTCTCTATTTAATGTGTCCCGGTAAATTCCAGATCTTTTTCGGGATTTTAACATCTTTTTTCTCTCTACTTCTGTCAATATGACCGCGACGTCCCACAATGCAACGTGGATCCCGAGCCCTATTCTCACAAATTTATGTAACGCTTTTATTGGTGGTTATCTCACCCCATGGTTTCACAATCAAAGAAAACCATTTGTTCTGTGGAAATGTAAAACGTTAAAGCAGGAAGGAGGCCCTTTTTTTACTCACCTTGAGACGGCAGCTCTGCCAGCCCACTGGTTGTAATCCGCTTAGCCCCACGTAGGTCCAGCACTCGCAGTTTGGTGGAACCGAACAGAGTATCCAGCAGAACTTCGTCCGTCATGTAGGAATGTGCAGCGTTGGTGACACAAAACTCGTCCAGAAGAGGGAAACCGCACTCGGACTCGTCTATCTTACGATTCACCTTCTCCGTAATCTGGATGTTCATCATCCGGAAGATCTGGAACAAAGCGGGAAAACAGGATTACTGGATCATCAAACACTGGAAATTGGCTCTATATCGAAAATTTAATTTCAGTTTATTTCTATAGCACCAATTCACAACACATGTCATCTCAAGGCTCTTTGCAGTTCACCAGATCATCCGGTCAGAGACATAGACAGGTATGGGGCCTTACAGGCTAACAAAGAGGCCAAACGAACAACATTCCAAAGGGGGGGACCTGTTTGATCGTTTTAATCTGCATGTTTTCTAAACAAAAACAAGGCTTTGTTGGGCTGCTGGATAAAGATAATGACCTGGATAAGTGAGAATCTTCACCAGCAAACATCGGGACGATCGGAGAGCTCAGCAACAAATCTGGTTCTGGATTACTGGGCCAATGATCGCTTCTTACCGAGATATACAGGGTTCGTACACCTTTTCCAAAGTCAAAATCAACAAGCACTTTTCAAGCACTTTCAAGGTCCATTTTTAAACTTTTTCCAGCACCTTGGAACCACCTGGATCCCCGTTCTTTTTGGCCCTCATGTCCCTCCGTCGTCGGACTA